TTGGATGCTAACTTGAGATGTTAGATTCGATTCGCGATAGATCATTCTACTTGCGCTAAAATGCATATGTGTATGGAATTCTAATTTATGTGAAAAATCGCAGTGCATGTATGTTTATTTGAGTAAAGATAACAGACGACACTCTTACAAATAGACATTCGTAGCCGGAACAATCACAGAGTGTATGTATGTGTATTAACAAACACTACGGACGGGATAATTTCGATGCATGTCTACTCGTGCGGATATTTCGTTTCGACGCATAGAAAAGGGTGTGACGCGCGTGATCCGAGTCGGTGGGTTAGGTCCGCCACTGAGTGGTTACGCGGTCCTAACGTTTCGCACTTACTTCTAAAGGAAGGTAATAATCGGTAAACGTGTATTTGGTAAAAGTAGGTTTTATTATTAAAGCTTAAACTAGTGACTACAATTTCTGCTCCCGGGGTGCCGTCTGATCGTTGTCGCGGACTACGAATGAAACGTATGCGTATTAGAGCTAGCGTATCGTCGCGGGATACGTATGACGTACAAGAGAATCTTATGCTAAACATATACTATGGCGGACGCAGACGGATAATGAGTTACACGAGTTGACAATGCTTATTCGCTATATTATACTAAGCTACGGATGCTATATTAGAGCTACGGGTACGATACTAGAGCTATGACTATCGAACTAAAACGCGACTGTCTCGGACGAGCGGAGCAGGTCTCTCAGCGTGTCTCCCAACGGGGAGGTTCCGAGCAGACGAGCTACGACGAAGCGACGTAAGTCCGTGTGCGTCCGCGGGAGCGTGAAGTCGATGGTTCTAATTGCCACCGACTGGGTACGAGAGTTGCTGAGCGTATTACCTACGGTTCTTCAGCGAGATAATCGTAATGGATAAAGATCCACGAGAATCCACTCTGCCTTTTCCTGGCTCAAGGGCCGGTATTTAACCGCGTGGCGCGTGATTTCGCCGGCGCGAAACGTCGCGCGTGGGGTCGCCGCCTAGCGGCGGCCGGTGTAGTCGCGGGTAGCGCCCGCGACTGCGCATTACGTGGCGGCGAAATCGGTGGCCGTGTTCGGGGTCGTAGGACATAACGTGACAGTTCGTCACACTAGCTTGCAGGCTAATTTCAACCATAATCTTAATCTTAATAAGGCACTCCACACTAGTACTATTGATAATAGCATAGCATTAAATCTGAATCCTAATAATCAAGTAATTAACTCTGGTTAAAAAGGGAATAAGTTAATTTCCCAATCGCTTCTCCGATTTAAATTTAATCGTCCGAAATAATAAT